GCGTAGCCCGGCCCGGAAGCGCGCGAGCTGCGGCCCGCCGAGGGCCAGGCGGGCGTCGTCGTCGAGGCTCAGCAGCGGCGAGCGCATGAGCGCGCCGGCGCGGCGGGCGCGGCGCTCGAGCTCGCGCAGGGCGGGGAAGGTGGCCGTCGGGATGCTGGTGCTGCTGCTCTCCGCGCGGGTCGCCGCCACCACGGCCGCAGCCGCCGTGGCGGAGGACAGCACGGCGCGGCCGGCGGGCGGGACGGGGGAGCGGAGCCTGCTCGCCGCCGAGCAGATGCTGTGCTCGTAGGTCTTGATGAGGAGATATGTGGTCTGTAGAGAGAGATGTGTTCAGTTTCCCGTGAAAATAATCAGTATGGCTGATCAGGTCTCTTTTCTTTTCGGGGAGGAGAACAGGTAAAGTGGGAAGGAGGAAAGAAGTTTTCTAACCTTTTGTGTGGCCATAAAGTTCCCGAGGTCCTTGACCTCGAGCATCTCTGCGAGAAGGGGGACAAGAAACGCGGGGATCTGGCCTGTCATGGCCGTCTCCTCGCGGCTGGCTTGCATGAGGTCGCCGAGGTGATCGCCGGTGTGAGCAAGGGCAGACGCCGCTGAGTCTGTCGTATCCTTGTACTCGGGAGACAAGGCCTGGTTGTAAGAAGCCATGATGGACTCCTGTCTGTTTCTGTTGATGACGGTGCAAGACATGCTGGACAACTGGATATGCCTATAATCACGGTCCGGTAGCGTAGCGAGTGGAGGAAGCGAAACCTCGAGATATTCAAGGCACCTTTCAGTAAAGAGATGAGGGATGGCAAAGGAAAAGCCTGTAGAGGATGTGCTCGAGGAGGATGAGTGGATAGTTGGTTGTGGACCAGGTCTGTCTGGTTGACTGGACTCGAAGTGAATATATATATATATATATATATATATACAAGATGTCGTTACTCAGACAAGACCAGTTGCGCAGGTTGGGCAGCCTGATTCATAGACACAACAGTGCTCTATCAAGGGGATCAAGGGTGTGAATGAGCAGCCGTATGGACAACACCCTCGTGTGACGAGAGAGTGCAGAGTGCAGAGTGCCGAGCAAAGTCCGAAAAGATCAGAGGGAAGGTTATAGGTACTGGAGAATTCGCCATCTCCAACGGCTGGCCGCAAGGGTTCCCGAGTTTGCCTCGATTAGCACGCATTATCGCGCTTGGTGATGAGTCGCGTGTGTAAGTGGATGACACCCTGATGGCTCCGGGCCTCACGTCACAATTCAACACAGCCATTAGCTATGACTCTCCTCCCTGTCGTCTATCTGGCAAGTCGGACTAGTGGGGCTGCTTGCGCAGGGCTCTTCGACTCGGGGAGTACACTATTCAAGTTGAAGAGAGAGTATTGATCTAAAGAAAGGAGGGCTGCTATTGTCACGCTTTTAGGAGCAAGGCCCTCCGTTGCGTGGGCTCGCTTGGAATCTTCCGGCTCCACCTGGGTCAAGCACATACGGAGTGTGTGTATGATAGGATAGCTGTGTGAATGCCTGCTACGTACCTAGGTTGGAATGCGTCTTACACGACTGCAATCGAGACAGGGACTTGGGATGAATGTCGAATTTGAGCTTGCTGATGATACACCTCTCTCTTTCTCTCTCTCAGAGGTCTGTTTGCTGGCTGCTTATTACCCACCCCTCAAAGCAACGATCCCCAAATTACACTTTCCTGGGCAAGCGCCCGGCTTTCACCTCTAATCCGTGAGGATACGTGTGCCGCATGCCGATTCCAAGTAGCGAAACCCAAGAAACCCCCCCCCCCCCCCCCAACGCCGAAGATGCCATCCATCCATCCATCCACCGCCCCTGTCCCTTGGGCTCGCAAGCGGCAGACAGACCGCCCGCCTTCGAGCAAAATGCCCGCGCCAGACTCGACCTCGTCAGACCCTCCGCCGCGATAGACCTCCGCTACCAAGAACAATTCGTATTGTACAAGTCCCCATCCAAAAATCAAGTGTCGTCGTGCAAGTGTTGCCTGAGCGATCACCGGCAGGGCGAATGGAGATGCAGACCAAGGTAGTTGAAACAATAGCGGTCGTTGATGTATCAGTCATCAAGACCCCGCCCACCGGACAAAAAAAAAGACACACAAAAAAGAAGGGTATGTAGCCAAGAACGAATAGAGGACAACATGACAAAATCCTGCCTGCGTGTTTCTTCGCTCATGACGCGGCGTCCTCGACAAAGCGCTCCTTCATGGTGACTCGCTTGCCCGCCAGGCTCTTCACCTTGTCGATGAGGGTCTTGCGGTTATCGAGCTCGGCAATGTCGTCGCCGCCGCCGATCGACTTGCCCGTGACCATGACATTGGGCACAGTCGTACGGCCCGTCAGCTCGCCCAGACGGGCCTGCAGCTTGGCGCCGTTGGGGTGCTCATCAAGCTCGACGACGTACGGGGGCGGGTCGATGTAGTACTTTTCGAGCAGGACCCCCTTGGCCTTTTTGGAGAAGGGGCAGTAGGACTTGGAGAAGATGACAACTGCGATGCCGAGTTAGTGCGGATCCAAAAAGACCAAAAAAAAAGAAAGAAAGAAAAAAAAAAAGACAAGAGCCGTATCAGTTGTCGATGCTCTCCCTACTTACCGGGTGACTTCTTGAGTATAGAGTTGAGCTCTATCGTGACCTCGTCCGTCGCTTCCTCGTCCGCAGCACCGGGGCCCTTCTTCTGGCCGCCGGCGGCGCTCCCGACGCCGACGACGTTGCTCGGCGGATCGGGCTTGTTGGGCGACTTGGCGTTGGCCAGGTCCTTGGCCTGCTGCTCGGCGGCCTTGAGGCGGCCGGCCATCTCCTTGGCCAGCTTGGCGTCGTCCTCGTCGACGTCGCCGTCGGCGTCCTTGTCGACGGGGATGCGGCCCTTGGCCTTGCCCGAGGCCGAGTCGACGACGGGCTGCGCCGCCGCGCGGCCCTTGCCGTCCAGGGCGTCCTTGGTCTTCTTGTAAAAGTCTTGCAGCGTCCGGGTGTCCCGGGGCTGGGTCTGCTTGACGTGGGAGGAGTAGATGAGCATCATGATGAGGAACATGAGCGCGAGGAGGAAGAGCGTCTTGACCCGTCGGGGCACCATGATGGGCTATCTGGCTCGTGGCAGGAGGAGAGAGGGGGGTGGCGGTGGGAGAGGTTCGGGCGATAAGAGTGTCTGCGCGGGAAGCAGACTCGACGATCGATGTTCCGAGGCTGCTCTGTGAGTTGGAGGAGCTGGCAGGATGTTCGAGAGTTGGAGATTGAGACCAGGACGGGTTAGAGCGTTTCCCTCGAGCTCCAGCAGCGGGATGCGCTGCGCCTGTCGCGCGGGCGTCGTTCTGTGCCAAGGGAGAATGCCGAAGCTTGTTTGTCGGGCGGTGCCCAGGGATGCGACGGGGAATGCACTTGTACGGCAGGGACGTGTCGCCGTCGAGAGAGAGAAAGTTCGAAGCCGGGTAGGCACGAGATACTCGAGATGGGCTTTTGCGAGAGGTGAATCGAGGGGGAAGAAGTAGCAAAAAAAAATAAAAATAGAAGAGTTGGAGGCAGCCCTTGGAGTTCCAAGAAGAAAGGGATCGACTTGAAAAGTTTCCAAATAGGCCCCCGGATTAAGCTGTGGGAATCGTGGCAGCTGGCGAAGATGCGCGAAACATTTGCAGAAAGGGTGGAGTTGAAGTGTGGTTTATCTCATCCACGGATGCTCATCAGTGGAGCGCACAGCGGGTGCCCAGTGCAGAGCAGAGCCAGAGCCCAGCGCGGGACAGTGGGAGGAGCCACTGGGCGCCCACCGAGGCGGACCAAAAACTCAGGGTCAGATCGCCTAGAACAGGCAATGGTCCAGGGGTTGTATGGGCCGAGACCGCAAACAGTCGCGTGCCCCGATCTGGCGTAGCGTGTACACTGCTCGGCCGGGGTAAGGGGCGAGGGAATGGGATTAGCTTTTATTTCCCCTGCTAAATCGAGGAACAAGAACAGCCAGTGCCTCTAAAAGCAAAGAAGGACTCCGTAGGCCCATGTGCCAAGCGTTCGTAGGTGCAAGGGTGGCCCAGGATACAGAGGAGGTTGTGTCCACAAGAACGCAGATCCCGCAGGCCAAGCACGCCTCTCCTCTTGCTTGCCGAGGCCCGCCGTTGGTGGTCGACTTTGATTAAGCAATATGCAAGGGCAAGGAGGTCAGACCTTTGACGATAGTCTACCAGCCGCGCCAGTCTTCGTGTGAGCCCTGTCTCATCGTCAGTCAGTAGTCATCTTGTCTACCGTGCGCACATGCATGCCTCCTCTGTCTGTCACGACTCTGCGTACACTGATATGGCCGGATTGCCTTTGATCTGCTGAAATTTCGAGCTATCGTCTTGGGTCCTTGGGGAGGAGAAGCGTGCTCAGATCGACAGGAATGACGAATGACGGATGACGATGGGCCCCTAGACACTCGCTTGTCCACGTCGAACAAGCTTAATGCGGATGTCACCTCCCAGTGCGACGAATGCCGCTGGTTGATTCGATCCTTCGGTCATGCCCTCCGCTCAAGAGTTCTATGTTATGCGTAACAGTCTAGGCAGGCGTTCATAGGGCTGCCTCGAGGACGGTTGTCTCGGCTGAATGGACATCAGGCATCGTCAATTGCCCCCTTGGGCAGGGCAGGGCAGGACAGACGTCCACTAGCAGCGGTCAATGATAGCCACCATCTACTCCTACTGGAATGGACGCCTTCATGCGCATGCCTGCTGAGACAGGCCGCGAAATGTGCGTGGGAATTCTGCTCCGGTCTTTGCTGGTACAAGTCTACCTACAAGCAGCGCGGCCTTGAAGACGCCACGTACGTCCGTTTTGAGTAAACGACGCCCCGTCGGCGCCATTGCATTGATAGCAGCACCGCAGGCGACGCATTTCAGACGGACTGCTGCTTCCAAAGGCACCGCGTAATTCACAGCCCACGTCAGCTAACAACGCTCAATGGAGGATCTCTCGCGCAGCACCGGGCGTCGAATTCGGCGTCCGGCTTCACGCGCGGGGTAGTAGGATCGGCCGTTGACTCACTCCGGCCTGGCTCGGCTGCGTACACGACAAAGAGGGGAGGGAGGAGGGGCAGTACACCGGCGGCGGCCGAGCCCTCCTCTTATCAGAAGTGCGTCACTTCAGGCTCCTCGTCATCGGCGTACGGAAGAGGCCACACCACACCAGGACTACCTCATTTAGGTCTGCAGTAGTGCTGCTACCCTTTGTGCGACACGGTCACCACCAGATGGGGGGGGGCACAGCAACTAGACCGCCAGTCCGCGTGTAAGCTCGGAGTAGTGCGGTGTGCCGGATCCTGCCAATAGTAGTTGCAGGCTGTCTGTCGCATCTCACAAATGCACAATCGCCCGACAGCCCCTTCGCTCTTCGAGGCTGCCTCGTCAGCCACACAAGGCATTCGGAACTCGGACTTGGTTCAACTGACTCATATGAAGACAGACCTTCAAGATGGATGCCTGGATGCCTATATCAGACAGCAAACTCCCGTCGGAATGAAATGTTCAGCTTGGCTTTCTGTAGCTCCTCGTACCTCGAAAGAAAAGAGATATCTATATCTACATACTTTGAAGCACCCCACACATTCAGCAAGGCTCAGCACCGACAATACAATATGCCGTCCCAGCAGTCCAAAGACTACGCTCCCTCGTCCTTCTCAGAAGCCACCACCAGCTCCGACATGTCCAAGCCTGACGCTGCAGGGTCAAAAAGCAGCCGTCGGTCCATGAAGCAAAGGATGAAGCAAGTGATCAAGGACATGGGAAATCCGCCCACCTACCGGTACGACCAAGAGCGCGGCAAAGCCGGCGGCCAGGTTCCCTCCGGGCCGTGGACCGATCACCGGCCCGGCAAGCTCTGAGCGCCTTGCATTCGGGTACGATGTCTCGCAACCCACATGGGGTGTGCGAGGTAATCCTCATAACATGGCGGCGAGGCAGGGGCCGTTTCTTGGCTTTGAGTTGTTTGTATTTTCTTTGGTGGTGGTTTACACAATCAGGAAGGATGCGATCAGTCTTGTCAGGTTTCGGAATGAACCACTGAAGGGGGACGGGCGGTAGTGGGGTCTGTGCCGGGCTTACGGCTCTCGTGCTGGACTGCGCGGAGCAAAAGAGGCATTCGGAACCCTCTTTTCCAGAAGTATCTAGCATCGATGAAGTTACGACCTTTTGAAAAAATGAACCAGGGTGCCTTCCCTACTTGTACAGCCAACGGATAATAAAGTGAAAATAAGCTTTTCTACCCGCCGGCGGACTTGTAAGCAAGTAGCATTGGATGCATGCTGCTGCGGCTTCCTGTTCCTTGATAACCACTAATAACTGGCACTAACAAGAGAAGTCCGCAAGCACTGCGGAGTTTGGTACGAGTATGGTAAGCGACTTACCTAAGTCGCCCCAAATCCGCACGCAGGGAAATGGTTGTTCCTCGTGTAAATCACGAACCTTCCGACTCAGAAGCTTCCTCAGATTGGCAGACACTACGAAACTGTGCCGCAATTGGCTTTCTTTTCCGTCGCACGCCATGGTGCGAATATTGGAAACAGCCGGAGAAACCTGTTGTTGCGATGGCCTCGCGCGATGGACGAAGAGCGGGATTCTGACAAACGTCATCGCCATGTGAAAACGTATATAAGTATCACAGGAATGCCTCCGTATCGGGAATGAATTTCAGAGGAGATCAATCCAAACACACAAGTCCCCGTCTTTCACATTTCCACTTGGAGGCAAACTTCCCCATTGAACTGACTGTGAGAGCGAACTGGATCCCGCCATGAGTACCGACATGGCCACAACAATCCCAACAACCCACAAGGCCGTCGCCGTGCCCGGCCTCCGCCAAAACTACACCCTCATCGACCGCCCGACCAAGCGGCCCGCGCCCGGCGAGGCCCTCGTCCGCGTCGACTGGGCCGCCTCGTCGCCCGCAGACGTGCACGTCATCGACGGCGGCGTCGCGGACCCGCAGTTCCCCTTCGTCACGGGGACCTGCTTCGCCGGCACCGTCGTCCAGATGGGCGCCCGCGACCCGGCGGCGGCCCCGCACCGCACCCAGGACCTGCGGGCCGGCGACCCGGTCCTGGGCTTCACCTTCGGCCCCCCCGACCGCAAGACGCACCAGGCCTACCTCACGACGCCGACGTACAACCTCGGCCGCCGGCCGCCCAACGTCTCGCCCGAGCAGGCGTCGACCGTGCCCGCCAACCTCGTCACGGCCTTCCACACCCTGACCAGGGACCTGGGCCTGCCGCTCGCGGACGGCCAGACCGGCACCGGCACCGCCACGGACAACAAGGACAAGGACAAGGACAAGCCCGTGCTCCTGTGGGGCGCGGCCAGCGGCGTGGGCCAGTACGCGGCGCAGGTGCTCCGGCACTACGGCTACGCCAACGTCGTGGCCGTCGCCAGCGCGCGGCACCACGCGTACCTGGCCGGCCTCGGCGCGACGGCGTGCTTCGACTACCGCGACCCGGACGTCGTGGAGCGCGTGCGCGCGCACCTCGGCGGGGCCGCGCCGCCCTACGTCATCGACTGCATCGGGTCGCGCGAGGGCACGCTGCGGCCCCTGACCAAGATCGCCGGCGCGGGTTCGCGCGTGGCGGTCATGCTGCCCGTCATCACGCGGGAGGCGGCGACCGGCGACGGCGGCGGCGAGGTGCCCGAGTACGAGATGGACATCGGCAAGGTGCTGGCCGGGGAGTGGGCCGAGGGCGTCGAAGTCCGGGGCGTGAGGACGTATTTCTACCAGGAGGTGAGTCTCCCCCCCCCCCTTGTTTCATTTTTTTTTCTTTTCTTTTTCGCCAAAAGGTCCAAGGGACCGGTTACGGGGTGCGAGGACAAAAATAGGCTGACATTTTCTTTTTTTGCGTTATCGCAGAACGAGTTCTTCAAGTATCATCTGATGCCGGAGATTGTGCCGGACTTGCTGGCCAAGGGAGTGATCCAGCCGAACCGGTACAAGGTCGTGGAGGGGCCCACGATGCTGGAGCGGGCGCAGGGGGCGTTGGACATTCTGCGAGGCAAGGCGCAGAGCGGTGAGAAGATCATCTGGAGAGTGTCGGATGAGTGAGCGTCATGATAATGAGATGTATGAATTTCACCAAGGAAACATGCGACAGTTCGTGTTACCCAATATGGACTAGGATACCGATAGAGAACTTCGTTCAGTGTAAGATTGTTGGATCATTCGACTATAGTACTTCACAAGTGCCTGCCTCTCACTAGTAGCTTTCGTTTCCATTATTTGATATTCGCTTCTCGTGTTCACTCCTATTCAAATGCTGGCAAACACCGACAGGCTCGACAATGCCTGCCCCGACCGCGAAAACATGCAGTTGTCGGCGCACGAAGAGCCCAGGTTGGCGTTGTGGACCCAGGCCGGCTCCCAGTAGAAGAGGCCCTTGCCGTTCTTGACGCCCGCGACGATGTCGGCGACGGCCTTGATCCAGGTGGCCTGGCCCGCGGCCGTGAAGGGAATGTTCCTGGCGTCGCTGGGGAACGCGTACTTGGGCGCGGGGCACGAGGTCGGCCAGTCCGTCTCGGCGACGACGAGCTCCTTGCCCCAGGCGCTGGCCATGTTGTTGAGCGACGACTTGAGGCTCGCGAGGGTGGCGCCGGAGTTGTAGAAGGGGTAGTACGAGACGCCCATCATGTCAAAGTCGTCGGTGGTGAAGGACCCCTGGCCGAGCAGGTTCTTGTAGAACCACTCCTGCGTGCTCCAGTTCCAGCCGTTGTCGATGTGGACCATGATCCTGGGTTTGGGGCTCAGCGACGAGTCCTTGACGCCCCACGCGGCCGAGTGCAGGAGCTTGGCGATATTGCCCCAGGACTTGGTCGAGCCCGTCGGCCAGAGAAGCCCTGCCGTGATCTCGTTGCCGATCGAGATGATGGTCGGCTGGATGCCGTTGCTCTGGAACTGGTTGCAGGCGTCGAGTGTGTAGTTGTACAGCTTCCAGGCGAGATCATTGACGTTGCTCGGCCAGCCTGCCGGTGTGGACTGGTGGCCCGGATCCGCCCACGTGTCCGAGTAGTGAAAGTCTATGTATACGCCGAGACCGGCGGCCTTGGCCCGCTTGCCCAGGTCGATGTTGTACTTGAGGTTGTAGTCGCCATTGGACGGGTTCACCCACACTCGCTGGCGGACCGTGTTGACGCCGCTGCTGCTCAGGATGTTCTCCAGCTTTGAAGAGGATCCGCTGGCGGTCTTGTAGTTGACACCGGCCCTCTCTTCCACCAGCAGAGACGACCAGTCCACGCCCTTATACTGCAGCGCGGCCTGTACCCCGGAAAGAGCGAGGAGACTCAAAGGCGGCATGAAGAACTTCATGATGGGCAGAATCGCCTGTGTGTGGCAGAAGCACTGACATGGTGAGATGGTTGCAAAGCACTGGCCTTGAAATAGTCAGACCCAACGACACTCGGCCCGTAGCGGAAGGGCTCTGTCATTGCTGGAAATTGAGGTGCAGCTTGCACCACTTGGTACACCACATACACTCCAAAACCCGCAATAACGGGACGTAAGGCGCCGTTGAGATTGTGTCCGATCAAATGTTCCGGGGTAGCATCAAATCAGGAACACATCCATCCCCGCCCTCCAAGAAACGACTCCCCGGAAAAGAGTGCTGCGGGCCAACCGCACCAATCAAAGCGACACGGCATTGAATACTTTGAGTTGAGCCAGAGGTGCACCCAGCGGTGTTCTCTTCAACCAAACACTGTGTTTCTCGATAGGGGAGAGGTCACGTATTCTGGAGACTCACTTGTGAGGAGATTGGACATCGTGGATTCGCATTGAGGACCACAGCAGCTTCGCTCAGTGGACGTTTGGACACTAGAAGTGCTACCTATTCTGTACTTGCCGAGACTGGAAAGTCCACTACTTGTAAAAGAAGAGACCCGATAAAAGAATGGCAGGAAGTGTGGGGTCGGTCCTTCCGATTTTCCGCCCCACCAAAATTTCATTATCGCAGATTCAGTGGCAGCGATAAGCGCCACCCCGTGGTAAGAAATTATCGACAGAGGCCCGCCCCAGCCCAAGGTCCAACCGTAGACGACGAGCAATCGGCCTTTGCATCCTCGCCCGCAAGCCTCCTTTCCCACCCGACAGGCACCTTCAGAAGCACGCACACGAGACAGCTCCCCCGAGCCTTCCCGGAAAAGGCGCCACCAAGATGCCTCAGAACGAGTACATGGACCGCTGGCGGCGCCTGCACGGCCGCCGCCTCGACCACGCCGAGCGGCAGCGCAAGCGGGCGGCGCGCGAGGGCCACGACGTCGCCGAGAAGGCGCAGAACCTGCGCGGCCTCAAGGCCAAGATGTTTGCCGAGAAGCGCCACAAGGAGAAGATCCAGATGAAGAAGGCCATCAAGGCCCACGAGGAGCGCAACGTCAAGACGGCCAACGACAAGGAGCCCGCCAACCCCGTCCCGGCCTACCTGCTCGACCGCAACACCCCCAACACCGCCAAGGCCCTCTCCACGTCCATCAAGAACAAGCGAACTGAGAAGGCGGCCCGGTTCGCGGTGCCGCTGCCCAAAGTGTATGTGTTGCAGGGAAGAGGTTGAGGAGGGCGGTGTGCTGACAATTTTATCCCTGCAGGCGCGGTATCAGCGAGGAAGAGATGGTATGAGATCATGCTGGATGAGATATACTGGGTAGTTGAAGTGCTGACATCCAGGTCTAGTTCAAAGTGGTAAACACCGGCAAGAAGGTACGTGACGAGTTCAGAAGCGGAGGCTTGAGTCGGTGCTAACTACTTCAATAGACGCAAAAGAAGGGCTGGAAGCGGATGATTACGAAACCAGTAAGTCGATATGGTGGGCATCTCGCATGGATCTTGTACTGATGAAAGCCAAGACATTCGTTGGTCCCGAGTTCACTCGCAGGCCCGTCAAATATGGTATGTGTGCTTGGACGCAGAACTCATCCTGATCACTGCTAACTCAAGTGCAGAGCGCTTTATCAGGCCCATGGGGTAAGCCCTTCCTTCTATGGCAATCCCTCTGGATCTTGACGCAACTTCTAATCTGCTCCCGCAGTCTCCGATACAAGAAGGCTCACGTCACACACAAAGAGGTTGGTTCTTGCGAAATTGGTAGCCTGGGCGATCTCGCTGACTTTCTCTCTAGCTCAATGTTACTGTTCAGCTGCCTATCCTTGGCGTTAAGAAGAACCCCAACAACCCGCTGTACACTCAGCTCGGAGGTCAGTAGCGACTTCTTTACCCTCGGTGGATGCACAAGCTGACTTCGTTGCAGTCTTGACCAAAGGAACGGTGATAGAAGTGAACACGTCAGAGCTTGGAATTGTCACAGCCAGCGGAAAGCTCGCCTGGGGTCGCTATGCCCAGATCACCAATGTATGTTTCTCTTCTGATTGTTGCTCTTGCATCGTATGCTAACTTCATGCAAGAACCCGGATATGGATGGGACGGTCAACGCCGTATTGCTGGTTTAGACATGAATTCCATGGATAATGGGATGTTTTGGAGATGTTTGCAAGAGCACACCTGCATCTTTGGGCGTTTGGCGTTGTCGGTGGATCAAAATGACTCGAGAACTTGACTTGATATTTGAGGCGGAGGGACTTGAGCCCCTTACAACAGCGAAGATAGTATAGACAATCATTCCCATGTAGAGAAAAGACATGAGCATGGCGAAATGTGTTCCGAACGCAGTGAAAGCAGTAGTGCAGCTCAAGCTGGCTCACTTAGCTACAGCAGGACGTGATGCTTGTGAGGTGCGGGACGGTGACAAAGTGAGGCTAATAAGAGTCCGGAATCCGGCACCAATCCGGAGAGTCGGGTGTGGTAATGGCGGGAAAAGAAATCGCCGGAAGCTAGAGCTGGCACACCGAGGTTAGATGGCCGGCACAGGGTGGTCAAAGGACCGACAATCGCATTGTTTGGCAAGGTGAAATTGGTGTTTTAACAAACACTGTCTCTGGATGTGGCAGATCCCAGCTTGCACAAGTGTGTGATTTGCATATGAAAGAGATGACTCTGTATTGGAATCTTCACATGTCAAAAAACTAATTAATTGTTACATTTGCCTGCGCTGGCTGGAGAAAAGCACACACGACCAATTGACTGAACCACATGCGTTTCGCCATTTACAAACCAATCGAGACGCCCTAGCCGGCATAGTGTCTCCTCCACTGGGTCTCCCCCCTAGGATCCACTGCGTCATGGCAAGTGATGGCTGAAGCCGCCCACGGGTGCTTGAATCGCGGGGAAACTGGGTGGAATTAGACGCTAAGAACCCGCCAGCAGCACCAATGGTTGTGCCCTGGCTCGCCGGTTCGATGGCTTTTATGCCGAGCTTGTCATCATCGCCGCCCCCAGCCAGCCAGCCAGCCAGCAACAGCGGGACTTGTCACTCCACACCACATGCTTTCCCAAGTGTGCTGCTGCTCCCCTCGATCCCGTTTCAATCTTGACTTGTCGCACACCACAACCTCTCCTTCTCCCAAAGCTCCTTTTGACCGTTCGCTCTTCTACACAGCTGTCTATTTTGCCCTGTATTTTATGCCAATGAGGTAGACTGCACTCGACATCCTGTCCACCGTGTACGCTGCCGGCGCCCACGCATCCAGAGAGCCAGACGAATCCTGACTCGGTACTTTTTGCCGAGGCATAATGGACGGCGCTCTGCAGAGCCTCAAGGTGCGCAAAACAACCGCTCGCAGCTGGAGCAGCTCGATGGCAAGCCTGGCATAGAGTTCTGGAGCTGCCGCTGACGTTCAATCGTGTTTGTCGCAGGGCTCAATCGAGCGCATCATCCTAGACCCCAAATACCACGACCTCCTCGCTATCGTCAAGGCCGCCCGCAATGGCGCCGTCTACGGCTGCAAAGTGCGGTTTCCGCATGCCCTTGTGTACGGAGATGCCCCTTGCCATGACTTCCCGCTCCGAGGATCCGTCTTTGCTAATGGTGAGAGTTTGCGCTGGACAGGATGATCTTCCTCTTCAGATCCGGAACGTATGTATATACCTGCTCTATCCGTCTCCGCGCCCGCACCAAGAGGTGCCGACACAGACCACATGCGCTAACACTGGATTCTGCTTTGCAACAGCTTTCGAGAAAAGATATGGCTCGTCTTTAGGGCCACGAGGACGCACGCCCGAAACCTGGCCAAGTTTGCGACGGTATACAAGCTCGGGTGCATGCTGCTGAAGCGCTTCGGCGCAACGCCCGGCAAGGAGGGTAAGCGCCCCAAAACAGGTACACATACATCCAGAAGAGGAACATTTTGACTGACTGCATCCGCCGCCGCCTCCCGGAACAACAGGACCCTACGACTCCTTCATCGCCGGCCTCGTGGGCGGCTACCTCGTCTTCGGCGGACGCTCCAAGCGCACGGGCAAGATCAGCTCCGTCAGCCAGCAGATCTGCATCTACGTCTTTGCGCGCGTCGTGCTGGCCCTCGCGCGCATGGCCGTCGAGCCCGGAAGGGGCCTGCCCGTCGTCTCTCGCCCGGACCTCTCGGCCAAGATCACCTACCACGCCTGGCCGGTCTTCGCGGCCGCCAGCTGGGGCATGGTCATGTGGCTGTTCCGGTGGCACGCGGCCGAGCTGCAGCCCAGCCTGCGCAGCAGCATGAGCTACATCTACCAGCAGAGCGACGAGTGGGACTCGCTGCGCAACTTCCTGTGGCACAACAAATAAATGCCGGAGCGGTGAGCGGGCAGGGATGGGGCCAGGCCGGCAGGCGGGCGGGCAGGTGTGAGAGGGGGGAAGGGTGATGGGAAGACAGGAAGGAGGATGTACTATCATCTATCGCCGGAAGAAGAGGAGGGCGATGTAGAACCAGAGATAGGGGAGAGAGGGAGGCACGTTTGCATCATTCTCCACCGCATTGTGGGATTTGGCACGGCACGGCTCAGGCTCAGGCTCCGACCGAGACTCGACAGAGATTCAACTTGGGGCAAACTGTGGATTTTTAGACGGCGTTTTGGTTTATGTTTTATACAGCACTGGCAGGCGCAATGTACTCTTGTTGTTTTCGACACGTCTCTCAAGCATGGCTCTCGCCTTTTGGCCTGGGAGAGTTTCTGGATTGCCCAAAGCTTGCTTTCCACGGTTGTAAGTAGCCCTCTTGATGTTAGCGAGCTGCTGGCCCCCGAGCTGTCGACTGATTTGGTCGTCGAGTACCTTGGACCAGCGCAAAGCCTGCCCTTTGAGGTTATTAGTATATATGGGTTTGAATCGTGATCTTGTCCTGCCATAACAACCCAACACATTGTACTCCGTCTCGGCCAAGATAACCAGCGCCGGTGAGCAAAGAATAACTTTTGAAGCTGTGATTTTACAAACAGTGTAGTGCCGGCCACTCGTCTAGGAGATGATGCCTCGGATCGCCGCAAGTCGTCTGTCTTATCTATCTATATATACACCCACTCCTTAAACGCGGCGATCTCATAGTCGCCCAGCACTCATATGCGGTGTTTTCCATTTTCTGTATCCCACGCCGAATTTCTTTCCTCTCTCTATCTCTCTCTCTGTCTCCATCTCTCTAAAAATATATCTCTATCCTACAGCGCTATAAGAATACGCCATTGCCTATTAGATCTACACACCTACGCTCTACCCGGCAACCCCCCCACCCCAGACAGAGAAAGAAAAAAAAAAGAAATCACAGATGCTTCCACCCATTCTGCCACATGATCTGCTTCTCGTTGATGAGGCAGAAGTCGCCGACCTCGGTCCTCTCGAGCTCCCCGGGGGGCGTCGCGTCCGCCCACGCCCGCAGCCGCTGCCGGACCGTCGCCTTCTCGAGCGGGAACTGCACGGCGGCCCTCCACCGCCCCCACCGGTTATCCCAGGCGCCGCGCACGGCGTCCACGAGGCCCGGCGGGAACGGCTGGCCGGGCGCCACGTGCACGGCGCGCCAGGCGTCGACGGTGTAGCCGACGCGCACGTTGGGGTTGAGCCAGACGCCGCCGCCGCCCCCGTACAGCGCGGCGCTGTCGGCGTGCACGAGGCAGCACTCGCTGCCCTCGAGGTGCAGGTCGGCGAGGCTGTCGTCGATGCCGCGGAAGCGCAGCGGCGGGTCGGCGTAGAAGGGGCTCGCGTCGAAGGCGACGATGCCGTTCCAGCACGAGGCGACGCGGACGGGCCGCCCCGCGCGGACGGCGGCGCGCGAGGTCGGGGAGAGGAACCAGGGGGAGTGGGAGGAGACGGCCTTGTCGCCGCGGTCGTCGCGCAGGGCGAAGGTGTCGTAGTACAGGGGCGGGCTCTTGAAGTCCATGGAGCAGGCGGCGGCGTAGGAGCCGTCGTTTGTGTTGAGGAGGGTGAGGATGTCGGAGGTCTAAGAGGGGAAAAAATTAGCGAGAAAGCAGACGAGAGAGGGAGGGGGGAAGAGCAGGACGGCAGAAAGAGGACTCACGTCAAACATGACATCGTTGACCCAGAGGACCTTGTCAAAGGTCCGACCCTGCTTCTGGAGCCACTTGAGCGGCTCCATGGCCTGGTTGCGCACGTTGGCGAGGTAGGGGATGCGGCGCAGGGCGTAGCGGTGCTCGAGCTGGTTCCAGATCCAGCCGGGCTCGCGCTCGCCGTCCGGGTCCGGGCGGGTGTCGAGCTCGTCGAGCTGCTCCCAGACGGTCATGCCGAGGGAGACGTGGTTGGAGACGCCGCGCAGGTCGAGGCGGTTCTTGAGGTCGATCAGGGCGTCCTTGGTGCCCTCCTGCGAGCCCGACTCGACGGACGAGAAGTGCACGTTCTCGGGGCCGAGGTAGTCGATGAGCGCGAGCATGGCGTCGTTCCAGCCGGAGCGCAGGATGGCTTCATTGTTGCGGTGGACCGAGGCGATGTAGAAGGTCTGGTTGAGCTCGCGCGGGCTCGCGTGCTCGGGCGGCTGCTTGGCTGCGTTGGCCGCGCGGGCGCCGGGGCCGACGCCGCCTGCTCTGGCCGCGGAGGGCTTCGAGACCGGTATCCGGACGGTCTTGGGGCGGGAGGAGAGGATGCGGTAGCAGTCGATGAAGAAGAGGATGAGGAGGGCCCAGAAGATCCGGCGCCGATAGAGCCGCAGCCTGCCGAGCCGTCGTCGGGTGATGAGCATGGCCAGCGGCGGGCTCGCATCGGAGGAGGACTGGGGCGCCACGGTGTCGAGTGACGAGGGGAGAGGAAGGGAAGGAAAGTCGTCAGCTCAGGAGCGAGAGCGAGGTCAATTAGCGACAGGAGAGAGAGATCGAACATGGACCGCCAAGGAAGGCATGGTCTTGGCGATAGGTAAGACGAGGCCTGTTCTTCTTGTGCGGAGACTGCGCGTCTGGCGTATCGTATGGGTTCTTGTTGGCTCGGATCCCGGTATTAGGCGCCTCGTAAGCATCAAAGCATTCTACTGGCGGCCTGCATGGTGCAAGTGTGGACGGAGCATGTTGAGGAGCAGGACGAGGCTAGAGTGCCGTGATGTTGACTTTATGAGATTCCAGAGGCGTGTCGACTGTCGAGGATGTACGTAGCCCCTAACGTAATGGTTTCCACCTGGTCAGGGCAGTGTGATTGGCTGTGGGGGCCCTGTGCCGGCCCTCTGTGCCGCCCCCTGTGCCGCTGTGCCGGGCGATCCAAGCAGCGTTTTGCGGGGGGTTGATCCCTGGGTTTCAGTGGTGAGAGGGCTCTGCGCCGTAAGGCTGCATCTTTGTCCTCGGAGAGCAGCATAAGATCAACATGCAAACTCACCGATCTCCCGATGTGAATTTGCTTAAATGGCTGCCTGGTTCATCGATACGACTTAATGTTAGTCTCAGTGCGACAGATTCCCTGCGACAGAGGAGCTAGGAATGATGGCCTGCGGGTTGTAGACTGCCTGCCTCCAAGTTGTCTCCAGCAGCTCGTATAATGTCTCGACAATTGTCTCAAGAGGTGATCGCAAAATACGTTTCAATTCCTCGTCATGGATTGTAGATCAGTCGAGAAAAATGCTGCTGAGTACGAATCATTCGTTATATCACCGGCCCCCGTGCTCCAGCACTACCTAAGGTAGGTACCTAGGTAATTCTGAGGGAGCTCAAAGCCTGTCCTGTCCTGTCCTGTCCTGTCCTGTGCTAGGTAGAGATTGCGGGGCAACAGCAGCTCCCCAGAGCTCCACAGCAGCTCCTCGAAGAGCTTCGCCGTGGGTGGGCGCTAACATCCAAGTCCTACCTACTTGTACTTGCTCGGTCTAGGACCTCCGGGTCCCGGCCGGTCCCCCCGTTGACTGTCGCCCGGGTCCGATCAATCGACTCCGGAACTGGGGCGAAAGGTGTGCCTTTCCTCAGCGCTCGTAGGCCCAGCAAGCTCTACATTCCGCGACACTGTTTCTTTCAGTCAGTGGCATCCCATGCTACCAACCAGCAAGATGTTGTCGAGGATGGGCTGATGTCCATCCTGCATCCCGTCTTACTCTACCTCCCTCGGGATTGCCAACCAGGCCATGTTCATTGGCCAAATGTTCTGGCAACCCAGGTGCTTCTCCCCGCTTAGGCACCCGTTCAGGGCGCAGCTTGTGCATCATCATGTCAGGCTGCCCGTAATATTCTGGGCAAGCGTCCTACAGCCAATGTGCACGTCCGACCACGCACACGGGCAAAGTCCTAGCCCGCATCTTTCAGCCGCAAGGCACCCTTGATTGGGTCTCGTGCCCGTTTGGTCACTGCAGTCTGGTTCGTTGTTCTCGTGTCATGGCAGGCTGACGGCGACGAGGAGAAGCCTCCTCTGCCTTGCGCCTTTCCTCTTTGCGTTTTTCGCCGTGCCTCTTTCTCCCTGTTGCCGGGCCCTTTGTCGCTAGTGGTGACAGTAGGACTGGGCTGCGAGTTCCTGCAAGCCGCTTGAAGCACTTCTTCGCAACCAGACCCTGTGACCTTTGTTGATCTCCTATATCGTACCTAGCTAGGTATTTGAAACCTTGAAAACTTGCGCCCGGTCTTCATTCAGAGAAGCAAGCCGTTCATGCTCTGATTATTTCCCACTCCTCCCAATATCCTCTTGGATAGACCAAAGCCAGAATCAAAGCTACACCAACTTCACCACGCCGCCTTACTAGACATACAGCCCCCTTTCCCCGGAAACAAAAACGATGACGGCCGCTACACTCGCCGCCAGCACCGCCGCCATCCAGGTGACCTCCCGGGCCGGGCAGCAGCCGCAGCCCGAGACCCTCTGCCCCTCGCCGCCGCCGACGGACCTCCCCGCCACGACGGGCAAGAGCCAGATCGACGACCCCTCGGCCCCGCTCGTCCACCCCTGGCACTGGCACGGCACGCAGGACTATGGCCAGGCCTACAGGTGCCTCGTCTGCGACGACGGCCCGCCCGCCCGCCTGCTGCACCTGCGGTGCGGCCACTACCACTGCACGCCCTGCCTCGAGCGGCAGCTCGCCGTGCGCGTCTCGGACCCCATCTTCCGCCCCGTCCGCTGCTGCAGCGCCGTCGACATCGACACCCTCCGGCGGGTCGTGCTGGTCTGGTCCTCCTCCTCCTCCCCCGCCTCCACTTCACCCTGCTACTACGGCGACGACTCGGAGCTGTCCAACCCCGCCGGCCCGGCCCCGGCCCCGGGCGCGCAGGGGCACACCACCACCACCACCACCACCACCGAGGCGGGCTCCCTGCTCGAGGCCTACGCCGAGCGCTACGAGGAGTGGGCCGCCGACCTCAAGCTCTACTGCCACGACGCCCGGTGCGGCGCCTTCATCCCCGTCGCGGCGCGGTCGTGGCGCCGCGGCACGTGCCCGCGGTGCCGGGGCCAGACCTGCGTGCGGTGCGGCGGCGCGGCGCACCCCTGGCTGCTGTCGTGCGTAACCGGCGGCGGGATCCGGAGGATGCGGTTGAGGAGCGGTGGAAAAGTCGGCGGCGGGAGGAGAGCGGCGGCGACCGAGGCGGACGTCAAGCTCTTGGAGCTGGCGGGCCAGAAAGGGTGGTGAGTGGCTGGTCTTCCCTCACCCTTCCATTTTGAGAGAGTAAAGGGGAGAAGAAAAAAAAAAAGGGTGGACTAATACTGTATACTGACTTGTGAATTTGCTCAACGTACACAGGCAACAGTGTCCCCGGTGTCACGCGGTAGTCACACGGAACGGGGGATGCTGGGATATGCTGTAGGTTTCAACCGCCCACCCACTCACTCACCCACTCAACACTCAATCGAGAGAGGAAAGGGAGAAAAACACAACTGACTCTGTGGGGAAAAACCCCCAATAGGTGCTACTGCGGCCAGTCGTTCTGCTACCGGTGCAAGAAGAGGAGCTGCAGATGCAAGAAGAACCCCGCCGCGTGGTTCTGGTGCAAGATGCTCGAGAAGTTTACCTGAGACGGGGGCCACCAGAGTCTCTTGGGGAAAAAAAAAACGAGAAACCAGCAGGCCAGCATTGTCCTGTTGGAAAAATTTATGTGTCATACACATATTGTCTCGTATGGGGGCATGAGCAGAGCGAGGTTCGAAACGGGCATGCTCCCTATCCTGTGCCAAACCAAACCCGCACATGAGGTCTCAGTCCCCCCAGCAGAGTTTACGATGTTGTGACGTGGCTAGAGAGATTTCCAAACTCTTTTATCAGCAAGAGACTACCGTAGTCGGCGCAAGATACAGGCTGGGGACAGTGAGCGTCGAATGTAAATCTCGAACGCTCGAGGTAGAAGGCTTTCCATCCGTTTCCAGGCAGATCGCAGTTGGTAAACATCACTGGACATATATCAGGCGCAGATAGACTTTGGCACATGAACGGTCGATCTTCTTCTCAAATATCTTGTCCTTGGAATATTTGAACACCCCCCACACCCCCTTTTTTGCACCAAGCAAGGTGTCTCCCATTCTACACCCGTCCTATCTTTGCGCAGCCAGATAGACAAACTATCCTCACCAAGCTCCCTAAACGCCTATCCCAAAGAAAAAAAATGGTTCACAAACGGGACCAAGATGTCTCGTAGAAAACTCCTTGCCCATACAGGGACCAATAGGTATCGACTATCCGTGCTATCCGTCCGGCCCTCCCTTTTTTTTTGCCCCCGAGGCATACAGAAGAAGAAAGATATTGGTGACAAAGAAGACTACTCGTCTCGGCGCGCCGCCCCCTAGCAAAACCCCAGCCTTTACGCTGCGTTCGGTCAGAGCCGGCAGTGTACCTGTCCCATTAAAAACCCCAAATCAACACCAATACGACCAAAAGACGGGATATCAATTTTAATTCCCGCTGCTAGTTATGCGCCTAGCAGGGTGTACATATGAAGAGGCTCAATGCCAAGAAAATGAAGAGAAGAGGTGTGCCGCTTTGCGAGTCGACAGGGGGTATAATTGCATATCCCTCGAGCTAGTCGGGAACATGGCTGAAGTGTGAGGTGATGAGATGTGAAATATGTACCGAGTAAATATCCAATAGATGTGAGAAAGCACCTTGCGTTCTCCAATCTCAAGTGTTGAAGCAACCCCCATTTGAGAGTTGGTGTGTGCATACCATCAGACTGTACTGCTCTCGGATGCATTCAGCCGCCTTTGAATGATGTGGACTCGATTGTGGCGCTGAGAGAGTCAAGGTTGTCGGAGTGATTAACATTGGTAGATTGTCAGCCTCGCCTCGACTGGAAGTGTCGATTTCTCCGATTATGTGAACGCCGCTTCGTCCCCATTGGTATCGAAATAAAAGCATGCCGGATGGGCTGGTTGTCTGAAGCCGTCATCCAGATTAACACTAAAACACAGCTATCGACCGAGCTGTGAGACTTTTGGAAAATTTCATGCGTCGTCAAGATCGTGTCGAGCCGAAGAGTGCCAGGTACAAGTGCCCATCTGGCACATGGCCAGCCAGAGAAGGCCCGGTGACAGTCAGTCAGCCGGCTTAGGCGGGCAGACAGCTCCTTAAAACCTCTCCGGTGGTCTGCTGTACCCATTGACCCGGGGCTGCTCGTACTGGACCCCGGTCATCGATTCTGGGTTGCCATTGGGCAGCCCTCCACTCAACGCGCGCAGGGGTGGCAGCTCTGGCCGGTTGGGTGCGGGCCTGGCGTAGGGGTCAGCAATGGACTGTGCCGGAGTGGCGTGGGCTCCGGCCTGACCAGCCGAGAGCTGGGACAGGTCGCTCCGTAGTTGCTGGTTCTCGACTCGTAGACCCTGGAGTTCCCGCCGCATCATGTCGATCTCAGACTGAAAAGCCGTACAGTGCTGAGACATGACTCTCAGGTTGTCCTGTTGCCGCTGATGCTCCGAGATGGCTGCATTACAGTGTCAGTCGCCTTCGCTCCAAGCTACATGTTCGATTCGAACACCAAGGGCATCTGTTTACTTACCTTTGGTCAAGATCTCCCATTTAGACGCCTTGGAGCCCCTCTCCTGGGGCATCAGGTCCCGCAACTGCTCAAACAACTCCTTCATCTCTGTCCTCCGCTTCCTCTCGGCCAGCTTGTGGCTCACTCGCAACTCGGGCGTCCGGCTGTAGGGCTGCGTACCCGTGACCGAGTTGGCCACCTCTGCCTGGATATCACCAAGCTGCTTGTGTTGGAGAGCATGGTGATGGGTCGTCGGGTAGTCTGCCGAGGCTGTCGACATGCGCGGGAACTCGCCGCTGTGGATGCCCTCGTCCAGACGTCGTTGCCCTGGTGGCAGCCTGGACTCGGTCGTGAACTGGCTGCTGGCCAGAGACTCGGCGATGCTGCTGCGCCTCGAATCGATGAGCGAGGTTGAGGAGGGCATGCGCTGTATCTCCTCCTCGGGGAAGGCCCAGGCCTGGCCCTTAGTGGGCTCGGCAGCTCGGGCAATCTGGCTCGTGGCGGGACCTGTGATGGCGGGTGCCGTCCTGATCAGCTTCGAGTGAACGTCCGGGTTCCGCTCGGCACTCGGCTGGTAGCCATTGGAGATGCGATGCACCGCCAGGTTTTCCAGCCCGGGCCGGGGATTGCGCTGGTGGTGTAGGGTGTTGTGGATCGACGTGCTCGACTGGTTGTGACTGGTATAAGGTGAATTGCCGAGCCGCATCTCGCCGAAGCCTTGATTTATCCTGCTATCAACGCTCTCCCTCCGAGAGACAGGCTCGTGGTCGCCAACGGTCAGGGTGGCGCTGTGAGGGGCGGAATCGAGGGACAGGGGCCGCTCGAAGCGGCGGGCGTCACTGCCGGGTGACGTGGGCGAGACCATGGAGGCGACGCTCATGTTGCTGGTGGAAGGGGAGACGAGCGGCTGGGGAAGTAGATTGGTCGTCGTCGTGGGCGAGGGCGTCTTGTCAGAAGGCGAGCCCTGGTAGGCCGCGCTGACCGGATGGAGGACGCTCATACCGAGTCCTGAAGCTGCCGAGTTGTCTGGTAGGACGGTAGCTTGTTAGTACGTACGACGACAGCAGACACAGCGAACACGGGCGAACGTCGAGCGGGGAGATAACGGGAAAAATGACCAACGTTTGCTTGAGGCATCAGTGCTTGAAAAGTAGGCAGAGTCGCGGTGTTCCTCGGGCCCATTGAGCACGCCCGCTAGGCCGACAGGAAGCTTCTGCGACGCTGTCTGTGGCTGGTCCATTGCACATGGGAAGACGAGCGGACGGCTAGGTCTACTCGTCAAGCGATAGGCGAGGAGGAACAGGAGGAGGGAGAGGGACGGAGTGGTTCAACGGGACAATGACAATGGGCGAGGGAGCTGGGTGATATGAACGAGACTCGTCGAAGGTCAAGGTAGGAAGGCTTGGGGTCCAGGTCGTCCAAGAGCGCAAGAATGAGGAACGAGGATGAGGGGACGGAAACCTTTTCTTTGTGCGGCACGACGACGGGAGGTGGAGAGTAGCAGCAATATGTAGAGGTAGATGTGTGCCAGGTAGTAGGCGAGCGGACGGGATGCTGCGTGTTGCTGGAGTGGTTCCCGGTAAAACAATCAGATTGTCCAGTGCCCAGGGTCAGTGTATGAGCGGGCCACCAAAGACGGGGAGAGCCAATTGCAGCCGGAAACCACGAGAACGGTTCCACACCCGATTGCTGGTGGTTTCGTTTCGAGGCACAGAGTGGACAGGGCCAAAAAAGCACCGGTCACTGGGGTAAAAGGACAAGGTAGAGAGAAACGGAAGAGAGGATACAGTAGATGGGTGGAAGTACGGAGTCTGGAGGTATGGAGGTATGGAGGTATGGATGCAGAGGAAGGACGGGCCTTTGGGGGGACCGTGTGGGTGTCTGGTGGAGCATGTACCACTGCAGTTGGCGCAGCTGTCAGGAAGGGGAAAGAATGTAGAGGCAAGGAAAGTGATAGATTGAGGTCGATCAGAAATTAGCAGCGCGGACTAACTCGATCGACCAGGAGGGTGGGTTGCCCAGGACGTGGATGATGTGAGTGGTGTGTACAAGTAAGAATCTATCCCCTGCGAGCAGCATGGGATGTGGTGGTGTGGTCGTCGTCGTGGTGGGAAGAATGAAGGAGGAGGAAGAAGATGGCTAGTGATGCTGATGATGAAGCTGATGTCTGGCCTAACTAATTAATGGAGGGTCAGATAGCACATGTCGCGGATGGCCGTCCGCGAGAAGGGAGGGAGGAGGAGAGGCAAAACGAAGGGGGGGAGAAAAGCTGGAGGTGAACAGACTTTGGGCCTAGGTACTCCGTAACCACACCGGAGGGGGGGGGGGGGGGGGCTCACTAACAAGCATGAGGGAACCGGGAATGCGAATGGGAGTGGGAGTGAGTGGGAGTGAAGTGGGAGGGCAGGCAGAGCGTGGAGGTCGTTTCAACAGGGGGGATCCCTTCACAAGCACATGGCTTGCTGTGCTTTCTCGCAGACCCAGTGGCTCCAGTGGCTCCAGTGGCTCCCTGCTGCCCGTCGAGTCGATCCCAGTGCTGGTTTGGGCTCTTGGGCGGAGTCTATGCTAAAGTAGTGTGGGTCCGCCAGAGCAGGGGACTGTGCTGTCCTTTGGCTTATTCCCACTGTACGTCCTGCCATGGGCCACGGCCGACAAAGAACGCTCCTTGCGGCCCACATGTTTCTCGCATGCTCGAGTACCTGTACATGGACCCATCTTCTCTCTCTTGGTGTCCTGTCCACCCCTCCCTTGCACCGTTCGCTCCCCTCAAATCTCTCTCCATTGGCGGCTGTCGCCGTTTATTTCCTGACCCGTCGGTCCATGAAATTCGTCAAGCGGGCGTAGTGGCCTCTTTAGTAACATTGACTGGAAGAAAGACTCGGGTTGACTTTAGGTCACTTACCAAGAAAGATAAGCACCGGGATCTCCGTCGAGCTTCCCTAGGCCCCTGGACCCGAACATATCCGTTTCTTGGACGGCTATTTTGGGGACACCCTCTCTGCGATGACATGATATGAGGAAGGCCATCAGGGACAAAAAGCAGAGGTTCCAGGTGGCGTCGCCAGGAATGACGCCAGGACGAACAGCAAGGTAGCAGTACAGGCCGAAGTGGCCGTCTGGGGTGCGGACTTCGCGCCCGCCGAAGGAGCCTGCAAGTCAGAAAGGCCACCGTACACACCAGGGAATGCCATCCTTGGAGCGAGTGGGCGCATTCCCGCTGGCCAGCTTTGTGAGTATTGGCTCCTAGGCCAGAGAGAACAGATCCTAGTCCAAACGACAGCCACCGGTGGTCGAGCTTGCAACAAGTAACAGCTTTTGAGTTGACCTATTTCGTACGACAAGCTTGCTCGCTCTTTTGCTCGTGATATCGACAACAAGAGCCGCGGTTGGGCGGCCGGGACTGTGTAGCACAAGATCCAGGTGGCTTTTGCAGATCTGAAACTCTGTTCCCTAGGCTCTCTGAGGTCACGCTCTTTGGGCGGAAGTCCAGCTATGGCCAAGAATCGTTGACAGGCAACTCTCGTTTGAGCCCGGGGTATATCCAGCGTTGTCATGTCATCGCAAACGCTCGACGCTTTGGTCCGAGGCAACAATAGAACAGCCAACTGGACCGCGGAGCACAGTCCGCTCGCACGAGCTGACTATCTCTAGCGCCAGCGCGCTAGGCCCCGCGGCTGCTAACCGGAGGCCATCGCTGGTGTCTAGTATCCAGTAGGCGGCGGCTTAGTTTGAAGTGGCTTCAGCTCTTCTGTCCTCTTTGTCATGCTTTTGGGGATTGTGTCGAAAAGTAAGCAAGCTCTCCAAGTCATCAGAGAAAACGAGCCAAGCAACAGGTTTGGAAACGAGATTTCCCTCTCAACTTCCCAGGGCAGTATACAGGCTCAACTGTTCTCCCACTGTGCTGGCGAAATGGCTTTCCGGGAAGAGGCACCGGAACGACAGCCCAGGCTGAGCGCAATTTCAATCGCTCCCTATCTGGCAGTGCTTCGATCTGGCTCTTGCTCTGGTAGGTATGTACGGTCTGTGTACATACCTCCAGACAGGCCGACAGGGGATGTTGAAAGTGCAGATCATGGTCTGTGGCCCTCGTCCCGCTCGACCATCACTGCGTCCCTTGGACCAAGGGCTCTGGCCAACTGGGCCGTGCGGCAACTATGCACGCCATGTATGGAGCAGGTACCGTCTCTTCGTACGGATCGCCCAATGGTAGGGACCAGCTCTCATCCAGGACCTACTTGTAGATGGATGCATGTCCAGTTCTCCCATACCACGGAAAGGGCTTCAGCAGTCAGCAGCGAAGGGCCCACAGGTCAGTGAGGCAGACCGCAGCTTTCATTTTTTCCGCACGAATGAGGTGAGAGCGAGCTTCCCTGAGAACCCTGAGCCCACGCATGGCGGCGTTGCAATGAATGCTGCAGGCGATCCTGCTGCCGCCCCATCCTCTGCTGTCCGGACCCGAGCCAATTGGCAGATCAATCTGGTTCTCCTTTTCCTTCCTTCTGCTCTTCCCGTCCGTTGTACTTTGATGCACATGCACCGTGTGCCTGTCTCTGACTGAGAAGAGGATGAGAACATTGAACATTGAAAAAAGTGTGTGAGTGGGTGCGGGTGGATCTATTAGTGCTTCTTGTCGCACCCCCCAGCTGCGTCTTGACTGGTTCGCAGGGGAAGGGGTGGCGTCTAGGCTTCTCACCCACACCTTTTCCGCCCCCCGTCATGCTCGATCCTCCCGTAGCAAAAGCCACGTGAGGCGTACCCTCTACCCGCCTGCAAACTGTGAGCCGGAGATTTGTGCCACGCGCTGGAGAACGTTGTTCGCTCACGCTGCCCCAGCCACCCCTGGCCCAAGCTCGTAAGCTCCCAAGCTCCAATGTCAATGTCGGTACGTACCCGGTACTCGCAAGGATCACCCATGTCTGTCCCGAGAGACGCGCCCCCACCTCCCGCCCCCAGTACTTGCCGTTTTAGAGCAAACTTGCAGGCCGAGGTATTGACACTCACCACTATTGTACAAGTCCTGTCGATGAACGTTGCTTCTTTCTCAGCATGCCAGTCTGCAAATCAACTATCGTCATGCTGATGGAAGGAGCACTTGCAGTCGCGCACGGTCTTTCCCGATGTGATCGGATATCGCGCATCGAACAGGAATATCTCTTGAACTTGTGGCCAGGCAAAAGAGCCACGGCAAGGGTCAGGTTGGAGGGGTTCTCGTAGGAGGGAGCCTCATCACGACTAGGAATCTACAAGTATACGGAGAAGCAATGGGTGTGTCCTATGCTCCAACTTTGTCCCCCCCGTCCGGCCCCAAACCAGCTCAGACATGCATGCTCAATCACCATTGGAACAGAGACAAGCTACCAGACGGCTCACTGGTCTTATCAATCGTGGGCTGGTCCTTTTAGCTATCAATTTTGATGACTGACGAGGAGGCACTGTTGAAGTGCTTTCTTTTTCTGCTCTCGACCTAAAGGACGACTCCACTTGCGTCCTGCATTGGCGGGCGTCTTCGTGCAGCTGGACAGGTCCAAACGTGCCCGGGTCCTTCTCGTCGAAAATGTGTCGGCCGAAATCGAAATGAGATTCATCCGCTATCGCTATGCTTTTGCGGGGTAACACCGCGGCAGCGATACGAATCCTCCAGTTCAGTCACAGCCAGTCTGGACGCCTTGCCCCGACCCAGATACATGTCGTTTACTCTCACCACCAGGCGACTCGACCTCTGGGCCCATGTTGACGACGGCGTCCTTGCTGTCCTCAAGTACCTACCTTGGGTACAACAAGAGCTTTTCAATGGCTGGTCCTGCATTGCTTTTTTTTTAATCGTGCCGCCCGCACGCCCGCACACACGGTCAAAGAGGACGTCATTTTCACAACAATGTTTGGGGGCTAAACTCGATAGTTACGCTACCTACTTCGCTATTAACCCTTCCACCAACCGGCATCATTCCTGGTCGGCCACAGTTGACTCAGGCCAAGATGAAGAGGACAGTGACACCCGTCCCTCTCAGCCAATCTCTTTACCCACAAGCGAGACCTCATCCACTCTCGTCGCCTGCGCTTTGTGATCCGTGCGAGGCACTCACAGAGATAATGGCCGTAGGTCACGAACCTGTTGCATTTGCATGCCTCCGTCCTGTGCTCGGGCCTAAACGTCCCAACACGAACGCTGCACACTTGCAATAGGTACCTCCCTACTAACTATGTGTGTAGTTACTTGTACATACCTTGGAACTGATCCCC